AACTGGTCCCTGGGGGACACTGAGGCTGCTGCACGTCTGACCGTACTGAGTACCAAATGTTTATCTCTCAGAGCACACTTGTCTCCTCTCCATGTAAAAATACATTCATATGTATTTAAGGGGGTTTTCTCCTGCATTTTCAACTATTGCCTGAGTGCAGATAGTTTCTATCTTCTGCTTTGTTTCCTTCTCAAGCTTCAGTCCTGCATATTCAAATGCTTTTTGGATGTCTTAGTGCGGATCCTGCCAGCATCTTGGCAGGACAGGGGCAACACTTTACCCACTGTCCTCTACGTAGCTCCTTCCGGGCGGATCCCACTTGCATTAAAGATGTCACAAAGAGGTAGAATTTCAGTATAATGTCCACCAGCTCCCCAGGCCCCTAAATGCACCCCCAAAACATGGCAAATGTTTGTTGATTTGGCAAAATCGAGGATATCACTTTGAGGTCATAGCATAAATGAAAAAAAAGTGAAAGTCTGGTTTGGAAGTATTCTCTCACATTTGCTTGTGCCAGAAAAGGAACTGTCAAGGCAGCGAGCCACGTATGGTTGGGCAGGAACTGGTTCCTATAAAATGGATTTTCAGGAACTTGCCTGGACTTCCATTTGGTAGCTCCATTTAAAGTTCCATTTAGCACATTGCAGAGGGAAGCCCTCCATGAGTATTTGCTCAGAGAAGACCCTGTAAAGAGTCGATCCTCTGTTTTCTCTGAATCTCAGAAGTTTATTTGGTGTCAGAGTTCTTGGCAAGAGGGATATGGTCAGAGAACAACAGCAGGAAAGCAATTCCAGTAGTTTACTCGAGACTCATACTGAAGAGTTTGTGTACAGTGGTATTCAATAAGAAAGGTTTTTATTTGGCTGCTATTGTATTAGAATACTAGGTATATAATAAGGCACATATTTATATACATACATACATCTAACTATATTTATATACACACGCTCATATGGTTGTACATACATACTGTGATGGTTAATTTTTATGTATCAACTTGACTGTACCTTAAGCCAGATGACAGGCTTTGGAATTTTTGCTGTGCCATTTTTTAAAAATTAGTTTAAGGGTAGAATTTAGTGATTCATCAATTGCATATAACACCCAATGCTCATTCCATCAAGTGCCCTCCTTTATATCCATCCCCCAGTTACCCCATCCCCCCACTGACCTCCCCCACCAGCAAACCTCAGTTTGTTCCCTAGAGTTAGTCTTTTATGGTTTGCCTCCCTCTCTGTTTTTATCTTTTTTATTTTCCCTTCCCTTCCCTATGTTCATCTGCTTTGTTTCTTAAATTCTACATGTGAGTGAAATCATATGGTATCTGTCTTTCTCTGACAGACCTATTTTGCTTAGCATAATGCCCTCTAGCTCCATCCACGTCCTTGAAAATTGCTGGGCCATTATTTGAGTAATCTCTCCAAATCTATTCTCGTATGGCAGAGTCTAGGAATTATCCATTTAAGTCCACCTGGGGCTTTTTCATGGGCTATGCTAGACATATGTTCAGGGCAAAAGGCCAACACAAGGTGAAGAGTTGTCAATGCTATTTATTAAAGGTGAATTTGGAGGGGATGGAAGATCAGGACAGTTTTCATAGAAGATGTTAACAATGTTGCAGATCTATTACAACTGCCTTGCAAGGGTGTCCCTAATACCGATCTCTTCCCACGGCTGCCCAATCACTGCAACATTGACACAGTAAGCTTTCAAAAAATCAAGTCTGATCTTAAGGCTCCTTTAAATTCATCTGGCTCTCCACTACCTACGTGCTGAAATTCAAAGTTCTTCACAGTATGGCCCTACCTCCTTTACTCCCTCCTCACCTTACCCCCTACTCAGTGCACACTCTACTTTTCCACAACTCCTCAAATGTCTATTTTAGGAGTCCCTATACAATGTGCCTCCAAAACCTTTCCTAGGAGTCCATGGACCTCAAATTACAGATCCCTTCCATAAACATAGACTGTAACACTCATCAACATATGGTAGAGAGCCTGAAAATGGCTTTTTTTAAATTATCTTGAACTGAAAACATTTTTAGGTTAGAAAGCTGCCTTAAATTTGGGAGGGAGGTCTAGTAAAATAAAGCATCTTTAGATATAAAAGTATTCCTTTAGCCACAATTTTAGAAAATAGAGTAGATCAAATACAAGTCTATTCATAGAAGGACATTTTACCTATGAATTTAAATTTGTAAAGGATTAAGAGTAATTAAATTTTCAACATTTTTTTTTCCATGCTGGGCATGGAGCCTAATTTCGGGCTTGAACTCATGACCCTGAGATCAAGACCTGAGCTGAGATCAAGAGTCGGACATTTAACCGACTGAAGCACCAACGTGCCCCTAAATATTTTTTAATATCTTTAAAATATCTCTCTGTTCACTTACTTAGATTTGAGAGGATTGATCAAATGAGTAATTGGAAGAAGGATTTACTGCTCACAACCAGAATAAGGCCGATGCATTCTGAGTCAGTTGCTAGGAAACAGAAAGCTAGACTCCACAGGGTTCTCAGGCATCCCATACATTTCTGATGAAGCCTAACATGGGCTATATGGCCCAGATACTTCCTCTTCATTTCTGCAGGTGCTGGGACTACCTTTAGGTCTTTACTCCAACATCACCTTTTAGGAGAGGCCTCAGGCAACTTATATAAAATTGCAATTTTTCTCCAACTTCTGGTACTTCCTATTGCTCTTTGCCACTTTATTATTTTTCTCTTTAGCTCTTATCACAGTAAAAAACATTATATATTTTACTTCTTTATTCCTCTGTCTTTCCTTCTAGAATATAAACTCCAAGTGAGCAGGGATTTTGGTCTTTTTTGTTCACTGCTGTATCTCTGGTGTCTACCACATAGTAGGCATTCAATAAATATGATGAGTGAAAACCTATTCACTCTTCAAGAGTTCAATTCAGGAGCCTGAACCTCCTCAATGGTGCTTTTTCCTGATTTTTCCACTCACCTCATGTCTGCTCCTATAGCACTCTGTCCTCAATCAAAGTAACATCATTATCGATCTGACATTGAAGCTCACATCTTCCTTTTGGGATTTCTTAATTTCAGTGTTTAGAGATGATAAGTATTTTGATATATTAAAATTTTGCACATGCATCCTAAAACTCAACCATACACATATAGGAGAGATTTCACTGAAAGCAGAAAGTGTGAAAAAGACAGGATTTTAGTGAACTATTAATCAGTTCAATGATTTAATAGTGAGCTGAGGTTCACAAAGAACTAACCAATAAAATAAATCACCCAGTTTAGTTTTAGACTGCCTAACAATGAATCAAGTTCCTCCATGTTGACCTGGTCAAATCACCAACGGAATTTTGTGATTAGTTTGGGCTGCCACATTCAAGAGTATTCTGCAGCATATTCAAGAGAGAGGAGACTGGAAATTATACTATTTGAAAGAACTGGGAATTGGGAAAGGGAACAGTAAGAGACATAATAGATGCCTTCAATATCTGATGTGTCATCAGGTTGGTGAGAAACTGTTTCTTCTGTGCGGTCTTAAGAGTTGGAAATTTTTTTTGCCTAATAAAGGGAGAACTTTCTAGCCTATTGAGATGACCCGGGATGGTCAAGTCCTTGAAGGTTCTGCTGCAGGCTGGGTTTGGTAGGGAAGTTATGAAGTAGGTCAGAGCTTAGTCACAGCCACACTGTCACCCTCTTGGCTGCATGGGTGGCTCCTGGTGAACGTTTTGCTCTTCCCAGCCTCCATTTACATGCTACCTGTTGCCACACTGCATTTTCACAGCATTTTAGCTCGTGTTCTTTGTTTAAAGTGTCTTTTTTTAATTTTTTTTTTTTTTTAAGAGAGAGAAAGAGTGCGTGTGCCTGTGTGCACGCATGGGTGGGGAGGGGCAGAGGGAAAAGGAGAGAATCTTAAGCAGGTTCCACGACCAGTGCAGAGCCCCCCATGTGTGCTCCATCTCACAACCCTGAGATCATGACCTGAGAGGAAATCAAGAGTCAGACGCTTAACCAATTGAGCTACCCAGGAGCCCCTGTGATTTGTTTTATGCTCTAAAAAATCCTTTGTTACTTTAGTATTCCAATCATTTATTTGATTTTCACACTGCTAGCAGTTGCAGGAAACTTGTAAATACTGGCTTGGCATAGACAGAGACGAGTTTGTATTGTCCACCCTCTTCACTTCCTTTCATTCTGGATCATAGTCAGACCCTTCTAATGTCTTGGACACATTCTCATGGCAGATGAATTAAAGTGGCCTATATAGAACATAGAGCCAAATACAATGCCGGGAAAACAGGATTCCAACATACCAGATGAAGAGACTGATGGTTAAATCTGGTGCTGCAGAGAGCTTTTCCCCAAATCCACGCCATCCTGGCAGAAAAGACTGCAGGGACTCTACAAGAGGGAGGCCCATTTGAAGGCCTACTCTCAAATACATATGCTTCAGGTCTTTATTCTCTCTTCCCTTCCCCCTCTCCCAATCTTTTGCCCCCAGCATACAGAACAGAGTATCTGTGACTACTCATCATGAAGAAACTCTCGGCACCATTATTATCAGCCATTTGCGGCTGTGGATAGCTGTCAAACACCTGGAGTTTCTTGGATTCTTTTATTCTGCCCCACCATTTAAACCTGATATCCTTTTGCTACTGTTTACTTAGGATGTCTATACCCTGTTTGGTTCTCTTTTTCTGGCACAAAGTAGGTGCTTAATAAACACTTGTTATTGAATAAGCCCCAATTACTTACTTAGTTCAAGTTACCATTATCTTGGCCTAGATTCCGGCAGACCTCTTCAGTGCTCTTTCTTGCCTCTAGTCTTGACCTTTCTCGTCAGTTCTCCACAATGGCAGCAAGAAGTATCTTCTTAAGATGCTAGTCTGATAATTTCATTTCCATGCTTAAAACTCCTCTGTAGGTCTAAGGATAAAGTCCTTACTTACCATAGCAACCAAAGCCCTCCTTGATACCTTCTCTCTTAGCCCTCCCGACATTTTCACCATCCAGTCAGATATCCCTCCGCAGTTTATATTCCCTTCTCCAGGGTTTGCCAACACTCTGGATTGGGGTAAAGCCCTTCTGGTGGGTTTCCACCGCCCTCTATCCTTGTTCCTTTAATGGTGATCATTAGACTGTAACCTCCCTGAGCTGCAAAGCCAATCATGTTAATTTCAGCAGTGTCTGGCCAACAATAAAGGCTCACTAAATGTCTACAGAAAGTACAAACGTGTCCAGCAAGTTTGTGCCTGTTTTATAGGACTCTGCTGGCCCTGCCTAAGACACAGCACAAATACGTGAAGTGCGCAGCAGGTGTCAAGAGTCAAGTGAACAGAAGTTTATTTCTTGCTCTGCCATTAACTAAACAAATGCTTTAGAGGAGGACAGTATAATTAAAATTTTAAAAGTCCCCCAAACTAGGACAAAGAATAATTTATATTTTGCATTATTTTGTTAATAATTTATCATTTTTTATAACATACTGTTATTATTCATAATTTGACCAAGATCTTACTTATAAAAATATGAAAATGACAATTTATGTACTTCCACATTATTTTCACTTTAAAAACATAAAAAGCTACTTAAGCAGCTTATCATGGAATATAGGGAAGTATTCAATATCTGAAAGGTCTATATTCAAGTGCCCTGTAAGCTACTTATTAGCTGTATGATTTGGAAGAGGTTCCCTAGATGGCTGAATGTATCTCCCATTGTACCTGGCACATAGTAGGTACTGAATTGTTCCCCTCACTTGTTTTAAAGAAATCTGAGAATATAGAGGTTCATTAAGACACAATGTTTCCTTTTGCTTTTGAAACAAAAGGGAGACAATTTCTTGATTCAGTTATACTACGATAAAACAGCTATTTTTTTAAAAAAGATTTATTTATTTGAGAGAGAGAGTACGTGTGTGTGGGGGCGGCAGGGCAGAGGGAGAGGGAGAGAGACAATCTTAAGCAGGCTCCACACCCAGCACGGAGCCTGATGCCAGGCTCCATCTCATGACCCTGAGATCATGACCTGAGTGGAAATCAAGTTGGACATTTAACTGACTAAGCTACCCAGGTGCCCCCAAACAGCTATCTTTTTTATTTTTATTTATTTTTATTTTTTTTCAAAGATTTTATTTATTTATTTGAGACAGAGAGAATGAGAGAGACAGAGAGCACATGAGAGGGGGAAGGGTCAGAGGGAGAAGCAGGCTCCCTGCCGAGCAGGGAGCCCGATGCGGGACTCGATCCAGGGACTCCAGGATCATGACCTGAGCTGAAGGCAGTCGCTTAACCAACTGAGCCACCCAGGCGCCCAACAGCTATCTTTTTTAGAAATAGATAATTCTTTAGTTATAATAATTAACATTACTTTTAAAGAAATGTAATTTTATATCACTGATATGCAGACCTTTTCTCTTTGGCATCTTTTAAAGAAAATAAACTTATATATTTTAAAATATTAAACACATAAAAAACAAACCAGCAACTATAATGCCCCAATGAATCCTGAAAATGTACTACTTGGGAGAATATCAGATAATTGATCCTTTGTTTTACAGCTCATGATAATAATCAGAAAATATACATTTTGAAATGAAAGTCAAAAAAAAGAATAATTACATATAATACATATTACAGATATTTTATTGGTACATAAGCAAAGCAGTATTAAAAAGCATATTTATGTGTCCACAGTAGTGAACATGGCAATTTTCTGTTTAAAGCTGCAGCAACTCAAATCCTCCTTGGGTCAATAAAGACAGACTGGAAATATATTTAGGGCTTATCACCATGTCTGGCTGTAAACCTATTTTTTAAATCTTTCCCTCCCCCCATATATATATGTATATATTTTATTGCCTTTCTATTTCTGCTGGTTTAATATAATTAGTATACTAAATAGTTATCTGCATTTATTTGGTTTCTAAAAATATATAAAATGCATTGGAATAGAGCTCCTGCAGCTTTCAAGCAGTCAGCATCCTGGCATCGAAAGCTTATTCTGGAAATGTAAAGCAGCAATTCTGAATAAATAGTGATTGTTTTCTCTTCTCCACACAGCTGATGGCCTTCAGCCAAAACCTAAAAACACTGTAGCAAATAGTATAAACATGCAAAAAATGGACATAATATAAAAGTAATACTTATGAGCTAAATTTTAATACAATATAGATTAATAAAGACAACTTCAGGTAGAAGAGGGATGGGAACACAGCATTGTTCTATACATATAAATTAAGGCCCAATTTTTCAAAGGCAATGCACACAGGGAAATGCCCATCTGCCCACATCCTTTGCACACCCGAAATCAAGAGTTTTTGCCTTTTCTGTATCATTTCCTCAATCCATTATTATAGTTCTAACTTGGAGAGATGTTCACAGAAATGGCTTTAACTGATGTTTCTTACTCGAAAGACCATTTTTCTCTTATTCACAAAGAAAATGTCCTTTTAATGCAGGTACAAAATTTACTTCTGCTCTGGAAGCAAGTGCTTTATTTGTTTTTCTTAAACACTATTAATCACATTTCACACCATAAATTCTGTATTTTTGCTGTTTTGGCTTGAGTTTATGACTATTTTGAACTATGGGAATTGATGAGTACTTCAGGGATGACTGAGGGAATTAAATGGGTAATTCCTATCAATACCAACCAAAGTCTCATATATAAATTCTCTGTGCATCAGGACAAAAAGCATGCTAATAAGCCAAAATATCTCATAAAAAAAAAAAAAAAGGACTGAGGCAACCCACTATGGGTCATTCTCTGAGGATGCTAGACACTCAAAAGGGTCAAATATACCAATGCTATTTCAAATCATTCCTTGGTAAGAAAAAAAAATTATCTTCTAATGTATTTAATACTTATAGGAAATCATAATGAAACAACTTGCAGTATAATAATAATAAAAAGCCCCTTATAATCTAGTTTAGTATTTAGAACCTGAATATTCCCCCCGATGCAAAATTTTATATTTGGTATTTTTGTATATCATTGTCTGCTCTCCCCCTCCCCACCCCCCTGAAATGTACCAAAAGATGTGGCACTTAATCTAACTCCTCTGTGTTCACAATAGATACAAATGACCAGGAATACACCATATTATTTTTAAGATGTTCTAGGAGAAATGAGTTTTCTTTCTTCTATTTTAAAAAGACTTAGAAAATATTTCTTAGAGATGTTCTTTCAGAAGTAATATAACTGATTAAAAAGTATAGCTGCTCAATATATTTATCAAATTCACATTTATATATTCTTCTCATCTAGGAAATAGTATTTCTATCTGTAATTAGGTCTATAAAGATTATTTGGCATTTGAAAATTCAGATGAAGTTGTCACAATGCTGCCAGTCTCAAAGTTATTAGGTTAACGCTGATAATAATTTACAACAATTAAGTTGGACACTGACTTGGTGTTTTTGACGGCATACCAAGCATCTCTGCAATTAAAAACTGCAATGTTTATTATATCCTCAGTTTAACATTTTGATTTAAAGAGAATGTGATCAATTTATAAAAATGTTTTTCTTTGTGAATAAGATCTTAATTTCTCTGAACAACAATAACAAAATGACTCTTGGTATAGGATGGAACCCTTTAAAAATAAGGCTTATATTGGGCATACATAAATCATTACTGTCACAAAATCTACAAAGTATCTTGATATTTTTTAATTTTAATTTTTAAATATGGATATGAAATAACTATTATAAATTGAGAACAAATGTGTATAGGTTGGGGTTATGTAGGTAAGAATAAATTATTTCTCAAGTTATTTGCAAAATAGTATAATGGCAAGGTCAACTTGATAACTCCAAGAACCCAAAGAAAATAATACCTTTAGTTGAGGTCTGCCATTTAGCTGGACTAGAAAAGGCAACTCTGCATTATTACTTTCAGTTCTCTAGAAGCTTCTATATAATATTTTCATAGCCATTCTTAAAATTTTTCATTGGAAACCTAAATGTAGCATTCGCAACATTCATTTAAACCAAAATAAGTCAAATGTGTTAAAACATCCAAAGTTGCCCTCATGCATAAGATATAACTTACATCTTTTTATTGTTACCATGGCATTAATATACTAATCCACTTTTACTTTGTTGCATGTAAGTAATACAGAGAATATATTTTCCTCAGAATTAAAAACCACTTTAAATTTCAGGTTAAAGTCTTAATTATATTGTACCAAATTTTGATCAGAGGGAATGTAAAAATGGCAAAATGGTATCTGACCACATCCATTCAGATACTACTTGTGACTTTTTGGTTTTATAAATAAATAAGAAAATATATGTACAATTGGGAGACTCTTCCTCATGTCCTGTAAAAGCCAAGCTCAAAAATTAAAAAAAAAACAAAAACAAAAAACAAATTTAACTTTATTTCCTTTGTAAAAAATACCGAACTCCAATGTACTTTCTATCTAAGTGACTGGAGAAGTAGCAAAATCCATAAAGTACAGATTAAATTATGTGCAAGCGATAACTTACCCATGGGTGCTTACACCAACAGACTATACATATGAAATGGGTTATTTTAAAAATATATCACTTAAAGTAACCTTTCTGAAGTAGGTCAACCAGATATCTCTAACTTACGTATTATGGCAACTCTGAGGATCCATGAGATTTAAATGATTAAGGCAGGGCAGAAACAAAATACATAATGTATAAGGAAACCCCATGCCTGTTTGGACAGATATTCAACAACTACATTTTTTGTTTAAGGTGTTCAAAGTTCTGCAAATCTTCTAAACATACAATTTACCTTGTGAAAATACTGCTCTTCTGGTATGTGGTCATTCATACACTGGAAATATTGTAAAGCAAAGATCCAAGTCCAGATTAAAACTAAAACCTGAATTATTTCATCTAATGAAGCAATGGCTAGGACAGGTACACAAAATAAATACAAGTGGGTTCCTTTGGAGTTAGTTTTGATGGTGGAGCACCCTATGACACTTGTATAGTTGTAGATCAGCAATGTACAAATGTAGTCTGGCAACAGGCACACACAGTCATAATGTAATTATGTAATATATAATGTATTTCACACAAAATATAATGTAATTCAGTCACAGGATAAGTATTAATAAAAAATATTAAAACATCAACATTCACCCATTAATCGATTATATGGAATAAATTAAACTAAGCCAGTCACATATTTCTCTTCGCTCTTAAGTCATGGTTTTATTTACGTATACACACAGTATACTACTTTCCTAACGCTCTCAAAATGCTACAAATAAAAATGAAGGCTTTGCATTACAGCTGCTGGACAAACATGTCAACACTGTCGATGTGTGAAAACAGTTTCTTTGTTCTTTAGCATCAGTGCACAGGGTATGGCTCCAAGTGGTATGCAATTTAGGACAGAAAAAAGAGACGGTGGCTTGTGAAATAGATCCTCTGTTCATCATTGGCACAAATCAAAGAAGGAATTTTTACTGTCCTTGGTACCTTTATTGGGTCTCTCCCCTAAAGACAGATAATGTTATACATAGATGCCTTCAGGATTAAAACCAGATGAGACAGGATTCTGTAGAATACGAAGATTACTGGGGAGCTGCCGAGATGAACCAGGCCGCTTCAGGGACCCAGACTGGAATGGTGCCTCTACACAGAAAACAAAGAAAGTCATTTGGTGTATTCAGCAACTTGACATAGTCAGCAACATGAAAAACTAGAACTTTTCTTGCCCTCAAGAGCCAAAGAGCAAACTGTAAAATTGCAGTCCCCTGTGGGGCCTGGGATAAGAGGAGAAAGCTAACTCTTCTTGACCCTCTCCATTGATAAAAACAGTTTTCAGTGATTTCAACATCTTTTTAAAAAGGTGAGCATTTTGCTTCTCTTTCTTGGTTGTTCAGATGATACACATCTTTTAAATATCAGCACAAATTAATAAGAAAGACTCTTAGGAGAGGAAGAAGGGGCATTAGGAATGCTAATAAAACCCAACAGATGATGACTCAAACATAAGGAAAAGGTTTCTTAAAGAAGCAGTTTAAAGCAAATGATACAAGATTTGGGGATTACATGCCCACGTACGTAAATCAACAATCTAGATATTATTGATTTTCTCCAGAAGCAGGAAGTATGTCAATTTTTTTTTTTAAGTGGCCCAAGCTTTGAACAGTAGGCTAATATTTTAACTGAATACAAGTAGTTTCTTCAAAGTTAACCTGTGAGAATAAAGTAAAGCGAGCAGATTTCTCAACACCTTACCCCTTTCTATGTCTGCATGTGAGGCCTCTACTTCAATGGGCTCCGCTGGCAAAACGGTAACTTTTGTCCCTGTCTGTTGGATAAACTGCTGGAGATTGACTTGCCGCAGCTCTTTAGTCAACTGCTCCAGTTCTTGTTCTTTGTCCTAGATGGGAGTTAAAATTTGTCTTTTTATTTGAAGATTCACTCTTGGCCAGCTAAAGACATCCCGGTGATAGTCCATCTGCTAGAGGGGCTGGATGTGCGATATGCACTTTCCCAAGAACGCCTTTAACAAACCTGGTTAATGTTGATACAATGGGCTAAAAAAAGAGATCATTTTTGCTCTGGGGAACAGGCCAAAAAATAAGCAAATAAAGGACAACAGCTTCTTCAGTCCATCCTCTTAAATGTGATGCCTTCCTCTGTTAGGAATACACTATGCACCTGATGAAATAAATCTATGTCTCTATAAACTTTTATCAGTAAAATACTAGTTTCCAGGGGCACCTGGGTGGCTCAGTCGTTAAGCATCTACCTTCGGCTCGGGTCATGATCCCAGGGTCCTGGGATCGAGCCCCACATCGGGCTCCTTGCTCAGCGGGAAGCCTGCTAGTCTCCCTCTCCCACTCCCCCTGCTTGTGTTCCCTCTCTCGCTGTCTCTCTGTCAAAAAATAAAATCTTAAAAAAAAAAAAATACTAGTTTCCATCCATCCCAGTGTTTACAGCAATCTTGCTATAAGCTATTCACAATTAAATTTCCCTAATGACTTCATAACTGACTGCAAAATCCATAGTCATTTGGTCCATGAGATTCAGAGAAGTTCTTGTTTTTGGTAAACTGTTTTCATGGGATTCATTATTGAGCTATATATTAGAGCATGAGGAAAGCAAGATTCCCACAAGATTTTCACTTTGGGGTTCTTAAGTCCTTGGCAAAGACAAGTCTGAGAACTGAAGACCCTTAAAGAAAGGAGATCAAGTTCGGATAGCTAGAAAGCTCAAAAAGCAAGGAGAGGTATTCCATGATTTGAATGGATGTTCTTTCTCTCCCTTACTGCATTACAGGAAAAAGTGGCAAGGCCTCACCCAGGCTGAGTGTGCCTGAAGACTGGCAGTGGTAGGAAGAGACACCAGAAATGAGTGGTTGTTTCCACCAGAAATGAGTGGTTGTTTCCTCCACTTACTATTCGTGTAGCGGGCACTTGGAGATATGTTAGTTTGATTATGAGATCCCTTCCAAAGGGTAGGGAGATTTACTGGCAATGACTGTCATAAATTAGCGTTTACTGTAAACAGTATCAAAGGCCACACAACTTCCAACTGCATCCTTTTTAAGGGTCAAAATGAATCCAAATAGCATAATACTGACAAATCAGAGGTTAACAACCTTGTACTGCATGAGAAATTCTTGATTTTCAAAATTTTGGTGGCAGTTTTACCTCTCGACTGTAGTTTGTGGCAGAGAATGGAAATCACATAAGAGATTCTTGAAACCTCAGCTTTCTCTGCTTGTAAAACTGTTCATATTCTAAAGTAGCTCTGCTCAAACCTCAATGTGCACCAGAACTATCTGGAGATCCTATTACAGTAGAGATTCTGAATTATTATTATTTTTTAAAGATTTTATTTATTTATTTGAGAGAGAGAATGAGAGAGAGAGAGCACATGAGAGGGGGGAGGGTCAGAGGGAGAAGCAGACCCCCTGTTGAGCAAGGAGCCCGATATGGGACTTGATCCCGGGACTCCAGGATCATGACCTGAGCCGAAGGCAGTCGCTTAACCAATTGAGCTACCCAGGCGCCCAAGATTCTGAATTTTTCACAAGTGTGCCCTGAACTACATGGATCACTCTTTGAATAGCAAGTCACCAACCAGCACTGACCAATACAGCGACCACTATCGAGCACTTGAAATGTGGCCAAATGTAACCAAACCCAGAAATTTACATTTACTTAATATTTTAAAATTTATTTAATATTAATATTTAACACTTTAAATATTATTTACATTTAGTATATTAAAATATTATTTCTATTTAATACCTCTTTGCAACTCCCCTAACATCAGCACATTTTCTTCTCGAGAATGGGTATCCGAGAAATGTAAGTTGAGTGATCAGGATCTCATGGCAAAATATAAAAGTTCTTGTATGGGAACCCGAGAGGGGAAAATCACAGAGGAACCTTTGTGCCCCTCTCCTCAGGAAAGCAAAGGAAAATAAGTAATGTGGAGAAAAGAAGGGGACTATTTACATCTCAGGAAAAGATGGGGTGAGCAACAGTGGAGAAGTAACTGATAAGCAGTCAACTAGCCACACAATCCTTGGTAGACCAATCTACAGTAATCTCTTTTGGCTTTGATTTCCTTCTCTCTAAAGGAGAGAAGGTCAGATTCACTATCTCATCATTAGTGTCCATTCCAGCTCTGAGATTCTATTCTCTGTATCCAATAATGTTCCAACTGCCACAGTAAGACACCTCTTTCTGTGGAGCAAGGATCAGTGAGGCTTTAGCTCTCATCTTTGTTTTGGTCTCACATCTTAGCTTTGTCATAAGTCACAGAAATTCTAAGAAACTTATAAACCAAGGTAGGTTTCTAACTTTAAATGTAAGAGAAAATGGACAGTCATTAAAGAAAATGCCAAGAATATATTAATTCTTTTAAACAGATGAAACATTTCTTTTTATAGAGATGTTCTTACCTGTAATCGTTTGGTGGCTTGTCCAAGAGATCTTTCTACAGCTTTAATGCCATTTTCCAGCCTCACACTCTGTTGGCCTTGAATGTCAATTTCTCCTTTGACCTTACCAATCTTTCCTTTAACCTCTTCTTCATTGACTTGTGCCTCCTGAACTTCCCGTTGTAATTTTTCTGCTTCAAGACCGCTTTCCATAGTCTGGATCTGAGCCAAATAGTCCTTTAATTTGCTCTCGCATTCTGTTATTTTCTGTCTTATTTCTTGAAGTTGATCCTTCAGCTGTTTTTCATTTTCCTGTTCAATCTGCAATTCATTTTCCCAAAATTCTTCCTCTTCAATTTCGACATCATTTCTTTTGATCTTTTGCTCCAGGCGGACAATTTCCTCTTCAAGGTTAGAATTATATTTTTGCTCCCAAAATTGTATTTCTATTTCATTTGATTCTAGCTCTTTCTCAATGGACTGAAGCTTCTCTGTCTGCAACCGGATCAGCTTCTTTAATTCATCTGCTGTTGTTTTGCAGTTATTCAGCACCTTTTGCTTAAATTCAGTTTCTTTACCCTTTCCAAAAATGTCCATTAATCCTTTGGCACCTCCTGTAAATGTTAATGATTTCCTTTTAGGTTCTCTCCTTTTGATTGATTTGTCAATCTGAGGCCTCAGTTTAGCCAGGGGGGGCAAACTCTGCCTATATAAAGTTCTCTCCGGAATTCGAGCCACACTGTCTGAAGTGGGTCGCTCACTAAGAGATGGCCCCGTTCGACGTAAAATTAGCTGTACATCACTAGCATACTGCCCCCATTTGTTTAAGGATATGATAGGATTTTCATGAGGTGCTAAGTGTCTTTCAGTATCTCTCCATTTTTCTATAAGAGTGTACCTTCCGGTTCGACCTAGATAAAAAAGATAAGAATAAACTGTTAAAGTGGAATATGCAATAGCTAAAATAATGCAACAGAGGACACTATTTGATAACTGTGTCATCTTGATTAGCATCCAAGTCCAGTCCATACTACCTTTAAAACTTCTCTTGAAGAAAAAAACACCAAAACCAAAACCAAACCAAACCAAACAAATTCTCTTGAAGGTATGTTAACAGCATAAAATTATGGGATGTGAATTACACATACCCTTCTGACTTGCTTAGAAATTCAACTATATACTTTAAACCTCAGTGAGACTCTTACATTCTTGTCAAATGCCTGAATGCCTAGACTTTCTTGTTTGGGGCAAGACCTCCAGCTGAAACAAAGGACGACACCAGAATGCCCCACTGAAGTCATGAGGGCCCGGTCCCAGAGCTGGGTAGAACTTCAAAACTTGAATAAATTTCCACTTTGTGACTCCCTCTGCTTTCTCTGCACATTGGAACGTGAGAAGGTTGGAGGCCCCATTTGCCTCCTGAAGGGAGGTATGGAGCCAGTGGACAACACGTTACTCAGCTCACAGGGGGTTGTACAGGTCTTTCCTCTGTCTCTGCATGAGGGTTTGGCCAACTCATAGCTCACACTGCTGCTATCACACCCTTGGCAAAAAAAAAAAAAAAAAATCACCTCAGTGAAAATGACCCTTCAAAATAATTTATAAAAATTTATAAAAATAGGGGTCTGAAGAAAAGTCTTCTACAGTTTTGGTAGTTGTAACTTCAAAGATTCTTGTTAAAAAAAATTTAAAAGGCAAAAATATTAAAAAACAAAAACAATAAAATCATATTTAAGTAAAATTATACTGAACCTAACTGGTAATTACAGAAGATCAAGCTTCAGAAGACAGTATAGTATCATTTACTTGAACACACTTCCTAAATACTTCCATTTAAGGTGGGTGGGTCAGATTGATTTTATTTTGTTAGAAGTGTCCCCTGGACACCTGAAACTAATATAAATGTTACATGTCAATTATATCTCAATAAAAAAGTATCTGTTACTACTTAACATTATTACAAGGAAGAAAATACTGATCCTGTTGTCTTGCAATTATAACACTGGTATATACAGCTATTGATTTATCCTGTTTTTTAATTTCATGAGCTTCTGAACCAAGAGCAGTTATTTTCTCAGTTATTATGGAGGTCAATAAATGGAGGTCTGGATACGTATGTATGTGAATATCCATGTATGCAATTCAGAAGTAGTACATTAAGAGTGATATTGCTCTAAACATGCATATTTTTTCCTATGGAAACTGAATCTTGGGTACAGCAGAAAAGTTGCAGCTCGCAAGGCAAACAGAGTGGAGTTTTAATCCCGAGTTTTAATTACCTACTGGATAAATAGTGTACACCTCACAGGTTCTGAGAATCAGAGTCAGGCATAATAAGCACCCACCACATCGCCTGGCCCAGGGCAGGTGTTCAATCAATACAGGTAGCCATTACTAATTTAAAACCTGTTATTCACGTAACAAAAGGGCTGACCAGAGACCTCTTAAAAATGACGTGACATGACAATAAGCTGGCTTAAAAAAAAATCCTTAAACAACTTTTAGCAACTCCCAACAACATAAAGCTGGAAAGAGCAAAGGCTCTGCAGTCGGAAGGCCTGTGTTCAGGTTTGGCTCCGCCAGCTATTTAAATGATTTGCGCAATTTATTAAATTTCTTTTGACTTCAGTTTCCTCATCTATAGGGTGAGAATAATATTTTCTTACTGACAATGTTGTTGCAAGAGTCAAGTGAAATGTAAAATATAAAACTGTTTTCTAAAATTGAGCAGTTCTATACAAATGTTAGTTGTTACTATTGCCAAAATATCTGGGTAAACGAGGGGAATGAAGAAGAAACCCTTAATACAGTGGATTGGCTTCTGGGAATAAAACATGTTTCTAGTGATTTTCAGGTTAAAAATTACTGTAATTACTCCAAGAAAAACCACATGATAAATCTGCAAGGTTAAAACTGTTCCATGTGTACACACTGCTTCAAAGATCACAGCACTTTGTGTTCTTGGCTTTGCTGCCTATCAACTACTTTTAGAATCTCACTCTTCTCTGGAGCTCTGTGTCCTCATCAGTAATGTGAGGGGTTAGAATAGATCAGCAGAGCCCTCTCTAATTGTCTACCAGGCCAATGAAGCATCTTGAAAAAGAAAATGGAATCATTACATTAGCCAAGTTATATTAAGAATTTTAAAGACCCTAATTTAGAGCCATAATTAGGATTTTTTTCCCAATGCTTAATGGTACCGCTGCCCTATGAGAATGTCTTACTAGAAGATTATTTAGAATTTCTTTCACTGCCAGTTTTCCCTTTTTGTTAAATAACACATATTTATAAATGTGCAATTGGGCAAAAAGAAAAAAAATCCTATCAGCAATATAAAACAGCTTTTATAAAAACTAATGATGTACTGTATGGTGACTAACATAATAAAATAAAATTTAAAAAAAGGTAAATGAATTAATAGCTTTGATTTTTTTTTTTTTTTTAGATTTTATTTATTTTTTTGACAGAGAGACACAGCAAGAGAGGGAACACAAGCAGGGTGAGTGGGAGAGGGAGAAGCAGGCTTCCTGCTGAGCAGGGAGCCCGATGCGGGGCTCGATCCCAGGACCCTGGGATCATGACCTGAGCAAAGGCAGACGCTTGATGACTGAGCCACCCAGGCGCCCCTAGCTTTGATTTTATTATAAAAGTTAGGTTTTAGATAGGTTATGTAAAAGTTAAATCCCATAATCATTATTTTTAATACTATCCTTGGTAAGGCCCTAAAGATCCTATTTCATTTGGAAGGATTCAAATTCTTCTTGCAAAACTCCTTTCAATGTATTTTACTAAATGGATACATTTAGTTGTACCTTGCACACTATCATGATGTACCCCTAAACCTAATAAAAAGGAATATCTATCTACCTACCTGCCTACCTACCTACCTACCTATAGCATTTGTAGTTTAGGCTGTTTTGGCTATCTAGAAATGCATGTCACAATAAGTAATGGTAAATAAATAAAATACTGACTATACTTTTGAATAGTTGAAGCAATTGAGTGTAATCCCAAGGACCATTAACTTCATATAATAAGGAAAATCACATAAAGAGACTTTAATGCATTGGTGGAATCTCATTGGATGACTGACATGAATTAAAAGGAAATAGGATAACAGATTACTCTCACTTAATTTAAAGCAGAATAGTATGTATAACTGTGGAGTAATATGAAGTTTTTGAAAATATACACCCAAACTCAAATATTCAAATATGGGTCACCCAAAAACATTATGCCCTTATTTCAATCACTCTTTCAACGGTGCAACCATTTTTTTTTTTTTTTTTTTTACAATTTTAGGAAATTTCTTAAAGCCAAAGAACAAAATCATGATTTAAAAGTCACATCTCAGAGCTACCATATGACCCAGCAATTGCATGACTGGGTATTTACCCTAAAGATACAAATGTAGGGATCTGAAGGGGTACATGCACCTCGATGTTTATAGCAGCAATGTCCACAACAGCCAAACTGTGGAAAGAGCCAAGATGTCCATCGACAGATGAATGGATAAAGATGTGGTGTATATATACAATGGAATATTATGCAGCCATCAAAAGGAATGAAATCTTGCCATTTGCAACAACGTGGATAGAACTGGAGGGTATTATGCTGAGCGAAATAAGTCAGTCAGAGAAAGACATGTATCATATGATCTCACTGATACGAGGAATTCTTAATCTCAGGAAACAAACTGAGGGTTGCTGGAGTGGTGGGGGGTGAGGGGTTGGGGTGGCTGGGTGATAGACATTGGGGAGGGTATGTGCTATGGTGAGCGCTGTGAATTGTGTAAGACTGTTGAATCACAGACCTGTGAAACAAATAATACATTATATGTTAAAAAAGAAAAAAAAAGAAGATAGCAGAAGGGAAAAATGAAGGGGGGGACATCGGAGGGGGAGACAAACCATGAGAGACTATGGACTCTGAGAAAGAAACTGAGGTTCTAGAGGGGAGGGGGTGGGGGGATGGGTTAGCCTGGTGATGGGTATTAAAAAGGGCATATACTGAATGGAGCACTGGGTGTTATATGCAAACAATGAATCATGGAACACTACATCAAAAACTAATGATGTAATGTATAGTGATTAACATAATAAAAAAAATAAAAGTCACATCTTGTTATTTATTCAACAAATATATATTAAACACCAAATATCTGTCAGAAATAGTGTCAGGCCCTGGGGATTCTATTAAACACCTTGATCATCAACCCTCTTTATAAGATTTAGTTTTAACTGACATTTGGTTTTTTCTTTAGTTTCAAATCCTTCTTACCCCAAAGATGAATACTGTACATTATTCAAAAGAACATGACAGGTGCGCCTGGGTGGCTAAGTCAGTTAAGTGTCTGCCTTCAGCTCTGGTCATGATTCCGGGGTACTGGGATCGAGCCCCGCATCGGGCTCCCTGCTCAGCAGGAAGCCTGCTTCTCCCTCTCCCACTCCCCCTGCTTGTGTTCCCTCTCTCGCTGTGTCTCTTTGTCAAATAAATAAATAAAATCCTTTAAAAAAAACAAAACAAAAGAACATGACAGAGTTGGCATTAATCTCTTACGAATTTAATGCTAACATAGCCTCCTGTTTCTGTACATATTAGAAGTAATGTCAGTAACAGCTTATTCTTAACCATGAATAATCTATCCAACCCCACTGAGCTTTTCTGGTAACAGATACTTTGCTCCTTAAGCTATATAAACATTTTGGATTCTTATACAGACTCTAATGAGCATAACTAACCCTTCTCATAATGACTTAGAATTCTTACCAGGAATATTTATCTCTGTAACAGAAATTACACTGTTATCATTTTATAGTCTGTTAAATGCTTTTGATGTTTACATATATATATGTATATAAAAATAAAAAATATATAAAATATATAAATATATATAATATATATGTAATCC